TAAAGTATTAAAAAAAACTTTGCCACAAAGGAAATCTCTCTTTATCTGTAGATTAATTACTTCTAAAAGCATTTAAGAAATTAGAATAGCTGGACTCTGCGTCCACAAAGGGTGCATTAATTATTGTGAGTATAGATCAGGGGTCTCCAACCCCCGGTCCGTGGACTGGCACTGGGCTGTGGCATGCCAGAAACTGGTCTGCGCAAACAAGCAAAGCACATCAGCAAGATGCAGGCAGTACATGAAACCACACACACACCGGTCTGCAGAAAAACCTCTCTCCACGGAATTGGTCCCTCGTGCTCAAAAGGTTGGGGACCTCTGGTATAGATGGAATCCAATAATGTCCAGATGCTCAACTCCTGTAACAACTGTAAAAACTTTCATTTCTGCAGTTTGCTCATGAGGATCAGCCATCTGGATACAAGTGGGTTATCTCACAATCTCTCTTTGATCCACAGAGATTTCACCCGTCAGCATCTACCCTCCAGCCAGAATTCTTGGCCATAACAACTTTCCTTTGGAGATGTCAGTCCACCATAGCTCTCCATCCTTTTATGTTAAAATTATTGCCCTTTGATATCAAACCTCTTAGCCAAAGAAGGAAGATGTTTTGAGTTTGATGCCTGATACGCCTTAGGATAAAGTGAACTATATTACTGGCTTGGCACCAGAGAACTTGCACACAGAACTGCTTTCCCTCTGCACCTGTGCTTTCATCTGCTAATGGTTTCCTAATTAGCAATAATTGTCTCTTGTCTGCCCCTAGAATCATGAAGCACATTGAACCTGCCATCAGAAATCATAACCAAGTGGTCTTATAATCAAGACCTAATTAAGAAGAAAATGCACACTTCATTATCTTATGGCATGTGTTTTGTTACTGCAAACGTAATTAATTAGAGTTCAATTAATCCAAAAATGGCTTGTTCTTTCCCTACTGCGGATGTGATGGTAGTGAAGGCAAGCTTGGTCTTAGAGACTCCTCTTTGTTTGGTAGAGCGTAGAATTCCTCGCTGTGAACAGGGTTCAATCTAGTTTCCAGAAGACCAGCAGAAGGAATTGTGATAAGTGAACTCCTGCAGACTTCTTAGTTTAGAAGCAATAAAAATAAAGGGGGGAAAGGTGTATTTCATTCAGTGTGTAACTCTGAAAGTTTCAGTACATATTAGAAGATTAATGTTAGTCCTTCAAAGTAGGCCACCCTATGAACTACTGGAACTCTACCTCATTTTTATGAGCTATAACAACAGCATCTTGAAATTCTGACAGATATCCCTTCCTCTTAGACAAAAAAAGACCCAAGGCAAGGTAGTCTTTAGTTTCTTACTAACTGGAGGCTGTGGGGACCTGGATGGGGGACAACAGGCTTCGACTGAACCCTGGCAAGACCAAATGATTTTGGGTACACAGGGCTCAAGGATCCGGGACTTTATCTTCTTTGATTCTGAATAGTAGGGTGGCACTGCCCCAGACAGATCCAGTTCACAACCTGGGGGTTCTCCTGGACTCGCGACTCCTGCTGGAAGAACAGGTGGCAGTCACGGCTAGAGACTTTGCACAACTTTGGGGTGTGTGTCAATTGTGGCCTTTCCTGGATCAGGATTCCCTGAGCTCAGTTGTTCAGGCCCTAGTCATCTCACGTTTGGATTATTGTAATGCGCTCCACATAGGGCTACTCTTGAAGGGCATTAGGAAGCTACAGCTGGTGCAGAGTGTGATGACGCAGTCAATTCTTGGGGCCCAAAGAATGGCCCTTGTAACACCAGTTGCATTTGCTGTCCACTAGAATTGGCCTGTCCCACCCATGTCAGCAGAGGAGGCATACTGTGGGCCCATCGGCCCAATGATTCTGGTTAGCAGGGTCCAGGAGAAGGGTCTTTTCTGCTTTTACACCTGCCCTTTGGAACATCTTGCCCCCCGAAGTGAGGTTGGCCCCAACCCTCCTATCCTTTCATAAAGGCCTAATGGCCTGGCTCTGCCAGTTAGCTTGGGGCCTTGGTGGGGAAGCAGCACAGTGGAAATGGTTAATTGAGTAACAGCAGATCCCACCTCCCTCCACCCTGCCCCTGCCCTCCATATGTACAAAAATGTCTAGGCTGCCCCAACCCATCGTTACCACTGTACAGCATCAGTTTTAATATTTTTTCTCTTCATCAAGAGAAAAGAACAACTGAGACTTCTGTTTATTATTTCACTAAGTACCATCATCTAACCTCAGCCCTGTATCCAGCAAAGCCCCATGGCAAAACAAGTAAAAGAAGCCATCATGGTTACCATCTCTTTCCATCTTGAAACACATAAATCACATATGTATACATACCCAGCTCAGAATGCCAGGAAGAAAGGTGATTAGAGAAATTTGGCTGCCCTCTCTGCTCTATCATATTCTGTGTGGACATTGAACACATCATTTCTAGAAAACAAAACATTAAGATGTTTATGATGACTCCGCAAAATGTTTTTAAAAGACCTGTGATCGGTTTAAAGCTTAAATACAATTAGGTATCCTAAGTAATAAATAAACTCTGAACTAACAGGAACCTATCGCAAGAATGGAATGGAATGGAATGGAATAGAATAGAATAGAATAGAATAGAATAGAATAGAATAGAATAGAATAGAATAGAATAGAATAGAATAACAGAGTTGGAAGAGACCTTGGCGGTCTTCTAGTCCAACCCCCTGCTCAGGCAGGAAACACTATACCATTTCAGACAAATGGTTGTCCAATCTCTTTTTAAAAATGTCTAGTGTTAGAGCATCCACAACTTTTGGAGGCAAGTTATTCCACTGATTAATTGTTCTGTCAGGAAATTTCTTCTTAGTTCAAGTTTGCTTCTCTCCTTGATTAGTTTCCATTCATTGCTTCTTGTCCTGCCCTCAGGTGCTTTGGAGAATAGCTTGACTCTTTCTTCTTTGTGGCAACCCCTGAGATATGAATACTGCTATCATGTCACCCCTAGTTCTTCTTTTTATTAAACTAGACATATCCAATTCCAGCAACCGTTCTTTATATGGTCATCTTTGTTGCTCTTCTCTGCATTCTTTCTAGAGTCTCAACATCTTTTTTACATCATGGTGACCAAAACTGGATGCAGTATTCCAAGTGTGGCCTTACCAAGGCGTTTTAAAGTGATATTAACACTTCACATGATTTTGATAATATTCCTCTGTTAATGCAGCCTAGCACTGTGCTGGCTTTTTTGGCAGCTGCAGCACACTGCTGGCTCATATTTAAGTGATTGTCCACTAGGACTCCGAGATTCCTCTCACAGTTACTACTATTGAGTGAGGAACCACCTATACTATACCTGTGCATTTGGTTTTTCTTGCCTAAATGTAGAACCTTATTTTTTCATTATTGAATTTCATTTTGTTAGATAGCGCCCAATGTTCAAGTCTGTCAAGATCCTTCTGTATCAACCCACTCAAGGCAAAAACAACCAGGCTCAAATTATCCTACTTGGGATGAATTACATGAAGCTCTAGCTCTCTTGAAAGGGCTCTAATGCTGGCAAAGCTGGAAAGAAAAAAAAAAGAGGATGATCAGCAGCAAGACGGACTCAGTTATAGCAGTGATGGTCCACCATGGGAAGACCTAAGGGACCAGGCTGAGTGAAGATCTCTTGAAGACCTCTTGAAGATGTTCTGTTTACGTGGTCATAGATCATAGACTCATTACTGACCTGATGGCACATAATTAATCAATTCTATTTAATATCTTAAGTATGAACATTTCATCGTCATCATAAAATTAAAAAAAGAGTAAAGAAAGAAGAAAATCAAGTTGAGAAAAGGACTAAAATAAAATATGTATTACAGATATTCCTCACTTAAGGATGGAAATTGGGACCAGAATTTCCATTGCTTAAGCAGTGCGGCCATAAAGTGTGACATCATGTGATTGTCCCAACAGTGGCAATCTCAGCACTCCTGTTTCTGTCATTAAGTGAGGATTTCAGGTGGTTAAGGGAGTCCCAGGTGGTTTGCAAGCAGGTCAGCAGCCAGGTGGGAGAGGGGAAAAAACGGGCTTGAAGGTGGGAGGATGGGGGTGGTTAAGGCTGGGCTGGGGAGAGTGCACTGATGGTTCATGAGGTGAGGAGGCTGTGCAGATGGCTGCTGAGACATCACATGACTACCTGTATTTGTATATTATAATCAGTTTCGATCTCCGTAATTTAAATGAAAAAGTCTCAAGTGTGTTTGTTGCTTGCCACATAAGAGATGCTTCGTCCTTACAAAACTATTCCAAGAATAGTTCAAAATAGAGGCTTGGGCTTGCTGGACCAATTTCTTGACATGAAACTTCAGTGAAAGCTAACATAGCTGAAGACTAATTAGTGAGGAGGCAAGTGAGTCTCCAAGTATTAATAATACTATCTTACATCACCTAAACCTTCATCCTGATACTGTTAGCCACTTTTTTTCATAAATTCAGGTTCTATCTAGAAAATCTACCATAGTGCTACCCTTGGGAAGTGTCACTTGGAAGCTGAGGTGTCACATGATAACTGCAAGTTTTAAGCTTATTTCAGCAAAGTGAGCTTAAGTCTCACTTCATTTTGTATTCCTAGTAGGTCTCTAGTTACTTTTAATTATTAGGGTTATGCAGTGCCTCAACAGCTTTTCAGATCATGTGGGAGCATGGGTATAAATTCAGTCTGCAGTTCTTTAAAGCAATGTCACCTTTTTCTGGGATTGTTACAACTGCCCTCTGAAGTTGCTGCATAATCTCAGAAAATTATGCAGCTGCTTTAAAAAAAAATTCCTGAAAGATGCTACCAGCATATCTCCAAAGCACTATTTCCGAATCAAATCCAAAGCGTCACGAAGCCCTGCTAAAAAATTGCTCTACTTTCAGCCTTAACATAAGCAGATGTAATACTATAGTAATGAAGATGTATGCTTGATACAAAGTTATGTGTATGGTAGAATTTTCTTCCCTTAATGTCTCCTTTCAAGTGAATATTCCACATCTCTCTTTCATTTCATTTTAGGGCAAGCGTTATAAAAATTCCTTGGAGACTGTGGGAACTCCAGATTCCAGCAGATGCCGGAGTGAAAAGAAAGCCATTAAGTAAGTCCCAGTAGGAACTATTGGAGTGAATGGGTTTGAGGTGTTTGAGTTAGTCATTGCATAAACCTGCACCACAAGGATAGGTTTAATAGGTTTAACCTTCAAGCTACCTTGTATCTGAAAACAAGGCACTTCCAGTCATTTTGATTCCAGTGGTCCAAAAATCGAATTCCCATCTCCTCCACAATCTTATTACACCAAATATAAGTGCATACTCCTTATACTCTTGAACATTATTCATTTTGTTCACTTTGGGTAATTGTTCCTCTGTTTCCATAAACACCATGTTGTTCTTCAACTCCCGCATCAGATAATTTTGTTTCATTATTCAACATACTAATATTTTTCCTTGTATTATCTTAGCACATTGACTTACCTAGATATCTATGGAGATTCTCAGTCATCCAGGTCATCCAGTTGTCCCAAAGATGCTTTTTCATGAGGCAACTGGACTTTCTTGTTTTTTCTTTGAAGACAAAGGCCACTCTTTCGAAGACAGCAAAATCCACAGTTTGGACAGAGAAGACTGATGGTTTGAAAGAGGGGTCAAAGAGGCCATCTATGTCAAAATTGAACAGCCCTCTCTCAACAGAGAGGGAGGGATACAACATCATCTATCTCCAGTCTACAACACAATCCTTTCAACAGTTCCAAGAAGGCTCCAAACCCATTTGCACTACTCAGGTGACCCTGAAGAAAAAGATAAGCCTCCAGGTGGCCTCAATGACTCTCTAAAATAATGCAAATGACCAACTGTCTGCAAGGAGTATAAATCCTTCCATTCCCCACCATCCAGTCAGAGCTGAAGAAGCTTCTTGGATGAGAAGCAAAATGTCTTCAAAGAAAAAATAAGAAAGTCCAGATGCCTCCTGAAAAAGCATCTTTGGGACTTACCTAGATAGTGGCCTTCCTTTCTTTGTAATATCCCATATCTCATTATTCCAGAGTTACTGCATACCTCAAGATTTCAAAATCTATTTAATTCTTGTTACCAACCTGCCTTCCATCCTTTCCCAGGCTCATACCATGTACAATTATATCTATTCCATTAACACTTCCCCATATCATAATCACCTATCTTCTTTTTTTAAACAAAGTCCAACTTAAGGAACCTTAAAAAGAGAGACCTTTCTCTTAACTGTTAGCACATGAACAATCAGCACATGAACATAAATCACCCCAACAGTGTTTCCCGCTATTGTAAAACATGTCTTGTAGGCACCATTTCAAAATGTTCACTAGTATATAAAAGCTAACATGCAAATGTTGTAAAATTGTTTTCTCTTTTGCATGTTTTTATCAAACAATTTGTAAATGGCTAACCCATTTCATCCAGACACATTCCTCTTTTTCATATTTTATCTTCTTCCCCAGTTATTAAGAGATGGCAAGCTTTCTAAGAAATGCCCAATGTTATTTAATGTGTAAGCTATTCTCACTTGTTACATTACAGTTGAAAAGATTAATGTTTCTTCCATCTTTTGACAAATGATAAATTCTCCACCTGGAAAAGCAGTACAATTTTCAACTTTATGATCCTCCAGATACTAACAGACTGCAACTCCAAGCAACCCCAGAAACATGGCTGAGAGGGAAGGGTGCTAAAAATTGTAGCTGAGCAACATCTGGACCTTAGGTTCCCATCCCTGCGGTAGGGTTTAATCTTATAGCCAGCTGCAGTATCAAAGTTAGCATCCAGAGGAATAGAGAAGGTTACTATGCAACCACACAGATGTTTATATGGAAGCCTCTCTAATAAGTGGTTTAGAAGTATAGGTTTAGTTACACAGAAAAGAATCAGACCTATCCTTTAAACTTGCTTATGGAAACAAAATAAGGACACATTAATAGTAACTAATCTTCTTCTGGCATGTGATGCCATTGCACCAAACAGTAGGATATTGGAAACCCTTATGGTTACCTCAGTTAGTTCCTTGATAGAGCAATATAACTCAACTGACAATGGATCGTCATTCACCCATTTCTTTTACTTCATATTGCAAGGATATTTAAGGTGAGTTAATTTTTTATGGTCATTGCACATAGCAACACATCACAGTGAAATAATGTTTCTCTGTCATGGTCCCATAATTTGAATTTTTGATATCTAGGCTCCCTTGTAGTGGGACTGAATATAATCTCATCTTCAGGGATTGTTAAAAATGTTACACTCTTGAAACCATGATTAAGTAATAATTTCCATAAAATGCTGTTTCACCTTCTGATATAATCACACAAGCTTTCCCTTGGTTCTTCTCCGACATCTGCCTATGGGATTCCCAAACCTAATTTTCTACAATAAAGAACGCTGTAGAGTTTTGAGATTTGCTTGATGACGTTCAATGGAAAAGCTGGATGAAGGAACCTTGGTTATTGGCCCTGGAGCTATGGTGATTTAGCAAAAGAAGTGTTACCTTAAAAAGTACACCTGCAATTCTGCCTGTACATCTTCAGATGGGTTGATAAAATCAGTTGATAAATTTTCTGCCCCTCTGTGTGCATTCATGTTTGTTCATGCCTTTATATGTATTTGTGCATATATATAATTGTGCATAATATGTAGCTATTTATGTGTTTGTGTGTGTGAAAAATATGTATATATGTATGTTGAAGATATGTGCTCGTATATACAGTAGTTGTTTGTTAATTCCTGGATGTATGGTCTCATCAGTAGCTTATGGTTCTAGATGACACTATTAGCCAATCCCTTAGCTAAATCAGACCAATGGATACCATGCTCCAAGGCCATTATAAATGTGTGAATCTGATAGTTATTTTCCTTGTGCTTTTGATCTCTGCATAGCTTATCTGGGGGTCATGGATAATTATGCTGAGGGTAGAACAAGACTACTACGAAACCATAGCCCTAAGACCTTTCTTCCTAAGCACCTGCCAGTAAATAGTAACAGAGATGCATAGAAACTCTCTTCTTACGCTCTGCAGCTGCAAAAACGTTCACTTCTTAGCCTCATATTGAAAAGGTTCTACAAAAATTCTGACCCAAAGGCACTTGCCACATGATGATGGAAACGGGCAGGCAGGCATAATGGCGAGTTTGGTTTCTCTACTTTTTTGCAACACTTTTTATTCATTTTTTCCCCTATTCTTGGTATCTTGTGGATATCTTTGATGAGCCTCAGCTGTCCTTTATAGCAAGCTTTTCATCCTTCTTTCTATACGTGCCTCAAGAAGTCATCAAAAGGCTTTTCATTCCTGCAAACGGCAAGGACACTAGGTGAGTGGTAAGAGAAGTGGATGCAAGCAGATCGCCTGCAAGGAACCTTTGAGGTCGCTAATAAATTGGTTAGACAACCACTTGACTTCAAAGGCCATTGTGAAATCTCATATGCTGTGACTCAGTTGCCATTGGAGGCACTCTAAATTCAGAAGGAGATGGTTCGTTAGGCTCTGGCTGTTTACAGAATGGGTGATATAACCTACTTAGCAAGCCCTGTGAGGCTGTGAGCCCACAAACTCCAGCCTGAGGCAGATCACCCTCCTTGGCTCCTTCTGCACAGCTGAGCAGAAGATCTACACAAGGAAATGCCACGTCCCTCAGGCTGAGGAGGCCTCTTCTTGAGGACAAGCATCTAAAGCAGGGGTAGTCAACCTTGGCTCTTTTATGACTCGTGGACTTCAACTCCCAGAATTCCTGAGCCAGCTTAGCTGGCTCAGGAATTCTGGGAGTTGAAGTCCACGAGTCATAAAAGAGCCAAGGTTGACTACCCCTGATCTAAAGTGTTATCACTTCCCAGGCTCCAAAGCTATAATGGCAAGGACAGGAAAAATGTTCAAAGCCAGCCTCTTGCTTCGATTAAGATTTATTTTTTTCCTGTTCAAGGGACCACTATTGCCCTTCTCCATTCCTTCAGAAACGAATTGAAGCCAACCCACAGTTGTGTTTATCAACTTAAAATGGCCAAGAGCAACAGTGAAGGCTCTGAAGTTACTTGAAGGTTATTAGGGACATGAGCCAGGAGAATGGTTGAGGAAAGAGTTCCTGCCAATAGAGGAATGGAGTCAATGCAAAGCTGTAGGCAGTCCAGGTAAGAACTATTAGCTTGGCTGCAATTTCAGGTACATGCAAATGACCCGAATCTGCAATACAGCTATCATCAATAAATCAGTTAGATTCAGAACAGATTCCGTTGCTGCAAAGCCCATTTGTGGAAGTGACCCTAGGTTCAGTATGACAACTGAGCATGGACTAAGATTCCTCCATTTATTTATTTATTTATTTATTTATTTAATTTAATTTATATGCCGCCCTTCTCCCGACAGGGACTCAGGGCGGCGCACAACATATTTAAAACCATTAACATATATGCAATCCCCCCCTTAAAACCGAATTAAACCGAATTTTAATGTTGCGTCTTCCGAATATTTAAAACCCAATATAAAATCCACCCTAGGTCAGG